ATCAATGAGGATTGGTAGCTATAGTTACGTCAGGATATTCGGCGAAGCTCACCCCATATAAAAGATTGTTATCTATCATTTTGAGGTCTGTCGAGAATGGAGATCGTGCACGACCGTGGGCTGGAATTTAAACTTGGCCCCGTTTGAATGGACAAGAACTGAATTCACTATCCTATAAAAGAAAGCAAATAGTAAAGGAGAAAAAGGAACAAAAGAGCACACTACGTTTTCAGTTGTCACGATGCAGACTGGATGTTCCTCGCAAATTTAGTACCCTACTTTACTTTGTTGGTAGGCAGCTTTGTTGTCGTCCGGTTCAAATCCACACCTAATCTATCGGGGCCTTATGTGGTTCGCCACTCCAAGTCTCGGGGCTTAGGTTACCAGGTTTCCATCAGTGAACAGCAAGTCTTTGTGACTATCGGGCTTTCCTCGTGTGCCGCTCATCACACGAAAGTGCGCAATAAAAAAGCGATGAGACGGAATCCCACCGATCCCACCTCATCCACACGCGCTCCAGCACTCGCATGCACGTCCGCACAGACACACCAACTCGCACATATAAACACACTGGATACTGACTTGTAGCAAACAATAATCTTCTTCATTTTATATCTTATAAATTAAAATAATGTGGTTAGATGTCGTGAAGACTGTTTTTGCCCGATTCAGCGTTCTTGCCTTGCCTACAGGAAATTGTTCCGGGATGAAAAATTCATTGTGCGTCTAGAACTTGAGAGCGCTGGAATATACGAACACACAAATATAAAATGGATAATGCTTTATATCTGACCAGTGATTATGCATTTTGCGTGCATGACAACCTCAGGGTATTGAATCTTCCATACATAACTATCTATTCTTCCCTTGAAGCCCGTGGCATGACTCTGTCCGAACGAGCTTTTCACATGGCCTCTGACAGGAAATCCGTCGTGGAGGTGTTTCCCCACCGTACTATAGGAAAACAAAAACGAACTTACCGGATGTGTGAACCCGAAGCAAGTCATCAAATAAGGCTGAAAGAGCACATGTTCCCAAACCATTCAAGAAGAAGTGTCCAAAGCATATGTTCTTAGTTCTGGTTTCCTAAATACGATCACTTGAACGTCTTGGTACACAGGTGCCATGAACAGGTCACCAATCCCTCATAGACTGTAGAATCTGAGCTCCGTTCAATGGAATATATTCGTTGTGTATACAAGTTTTCATCATATATTCCTCGACCTCGATATTCTTCTTATAACGTGATTCTCAGAAGGTAGATTGAGCCAAATTAAGTTTATGAAATGGAGTGTTATGAAATGATAGTTTCATTGACGTTTTCTCTTTACCAATGCAGTTTTTCTCGTTTTGAAAATGAAATGGATCAAATCAGACATATTCGAGTGCATTCAATGATTGGAAACGAGAGTTGTATAACTCAAATTTTAGGTTGATACGGGATAACTAATTTGTGTCGGAAAGCAAACTATGGACACTGATCTCTACATGAGTGAGTGACTTAAAGGTGAAGATTGTGCTTCCTACCAATTTCTTAGCAAATTCAACTGAACTTACTTACCCTTTTTACCTTTTTCCATTCTTTGTCTATGTTTTTCGTCCACATTTAGTTAATTGGCAGAGGGAGAACAACAATAGAAGCGCAGCACAGCGCAGCTATGTTGGCTGGTTGTCAAAACGGGATACATTTCGTCAAAATGCCCACTTTATCTTGACCTGAATGGTTTTAGGCAAAACTGTTCCATCTTCTAGATAAAAGTTAAATTTATCATTATAAATGAACCCTTATTCATATTATCTCAAGTCTTATTTGCAATGATGATAAGTCATCTGCCACTTTCTAAGATTTATAAGGTATGTCAGAAAGTATGGTTTTTTACAATGCTGCAGATGGACAACTCAAAAGATTTCTGTTGAAAGACCATGAATGTTGCTTTCTGTTGGCAAAGAATCTCGAAATTAAAGACAAATGAATTTCCATGCTTCGTAATCATTTTCTTAGTGAATATCTTTTTTATGTGTAGAAATGTGTATGAATAATGACAAATGGAAGGTTCTGATTAGAATAGATCGATGCATATGTGGTCCCTGGCTTATACGAGCAAACGGCCTGACCAAAGTTGTAATGTGAAATGTGTCCCATCACCACAGAGATTATGCATTGAATAGACGAGTATTTTTCTAGTAATGTGTATAATAATTCATACTTACGGTGCACGTTTACATAAATACAGCTTGCTTCATCTGCTCAAGGTGACTTACTCAGGCATAACAGCCACTTGTAACGGACGGTCGCACGAGATACAGTGATAGTGTTGCATAAGACCCCGTCGGAGCCCAGCTGCATCGTCTGCAACCGTCTGCGTTGTGTCCATCGGTCCGGTAGCAGTGGTTGCACGTAGTCGAGTGGACAGGGCCTTAAAACGCTTTTCTAACCATTCACGGAGCTGATTAAATTCATCGCGATCCAGTTTGATATCAATCGCAGTTTCGAGCGCGTTGATTAATGCCTTGAGCTCCTCTTCCTGTAAAATCAATTGACCAAAGTCACTCATAAAAAATGATATTTATGCTTTTTACGTGTTGAAATTTCATGCTGAGAAGGCAAAAGAAATATATATTGTTTTTTCCCCTTCTCAATCGATGACTTTCCAGATTGCCGATTGATTACGGATATCCAGAATGACTGCGAGAAAAAGTTAATCCAGTTAACATTGTGTTAGTTGAATTGTCTTGTTTGGGTCACGGCAATTCGAGCAACAACTGTTGGGGTAATTCACACAACAATCTTTGAGATTCCATTCCACATTCCACAGAAGCTAAGTATGTCAAATCGGCTGATATATATGTAATTGGCTTGAGAACAAGTGTTGTGCCAACATCATAACAATGATAATAACGGGGATGGGGAGTTGGGATATATATATATATGGTGGAATGAAATTTAAGCAGTTACAACGGACTACAGTAGAACAAAATAATTACAAGTTCTTGCGCCTACTCGTAGACGGTTAGATATTTTTGTGTTTGTTTGTCCTCTTGTTTACGATACACGGGAATGCAGGAGGCAGATGGCACAGCATTTGCCCCACTGATTTTCACTACAGGCTATTCCTCTCAGTTTTTCTGACGACCAACAGGCCTCATTCCTTGGGCCCCAATCTGAAAGATGGGTTGTACGAATCAAAACCAATGCTTAAGCCAACTTTTTTCTAGCTTTATGCAAAGACAGGATCTGACTGCTGTGAACCCTCTTCCAGCGTTACCTAGAAAGTGAGAAGAGGGCACGAGAAGCAGACAATAGATAGCCATGAGCATAACGTGACCAACATTCGGAGCGGCTGTAGAGCGATTTCTTCAATTAGAGATCGACTATCAGCACCCAACATACAATGATGAACTTCGTCAACTCTTACACGGTGTAAAAACCAAATGCGAGTAAAGCTTCCAGTACAGAAAGCTGGTTATAGCATCCTCAGCGTTGAGAAGCCAGTTATCATAAACCTAAAGCAAATGACTACAAACCGCGGCCATGCCCAACCGTACGTTGGGGGAGGGTTGAATGCGATGGTGGTGCCACAGGTGTCGTAGGTTGGTTATCTTTTGCTTTCGCTATTCACGGTGTGACCTCCTTTCAAACATTGCCCGCAAATGCGATCAAGCGCTCGACTACTTCCAGCTAACCATCACAAAAGGTAAGTGCAGGTACATGCTCTTGCCATTCTTGGTCAATTTCTTGCACATAGATGGCATAAAGCACACACCGTATCTGGACACCTTATTTGTCAGACGGTTCGAAAGCACATTAAGCTGTCTATGCTTTGTAACCCAGCGGGGCGATGTCGTTAACCTATTATAAGAACTCTGCTTCCTGGAACGGGATTTGCTTCACTGTTTGCCATACCTGATAAAGCATTATATGGAACATCCTCCGCAACAAATTCAGAATACGGTGTAACGTTGCCGCACTTCAACGGAGACGGCGAAGGGTGGTGTAGGCTGCCTAATCCTACTCAAGGTTTGACGATACAAGTCATTGAAGATCGATACACATTTACGAGATACTTCATTCTTCATCACGAAATTCCAATGAGCGGTTCCAATGATGGTGTCAAAGACCGCGTGGATGCCTGAGAATACAATGGTTGTTGATTTCTGAAAAGCATAACTTTGCTCTAGCAACTGTCACAGGGTGAACATCCCCTACCGGTGCGTGACCCAGTCTGCTTCTATTTGGCCTGCTCTTTGCGCGTATTCTAGGATCTACGAAGGGAGATGGACGCTACCAGCTTCCCCACCACTAGCTTATGGCTCCTAGGTTGTATTCACATGATCTCTAAACATTGCTACCTGTTAACATTTATTTGATTGATAAAAATGATTGTTATTATTAATAAAAGTTGTATTCTGACCACCACCGGCCTTTGCAAGTTCGATAAGCTAGAGCTAGTCGATTCACATCCATTTCGGATAATTCGCAGTCTGCCGAATCATGGCCAGTTTTCAATTTGTTTCATCATTACGGTACAAGTCAAATTGAACGAGCAGTTTAGATTACTCATCAACTTTTGACTCCGCGTCCCATTCCATTCACTGAAGCAAGCTTCAATGCTTTTAGATATCTTTTTTCTCCATTTTCACGAATGAGAGTAAATACTTCATATTTGTATTAATTTAGGAATAAAACGTTCAACGATGTCACTCAAAAATCTGAGTGTATAAAAAAATGCTACCCTATCATACAATACTTTTTCACAATACATTAGTCATTTATGCATTACTCTCTTTGTTACTTTGAATGTTTGTGATTACACCGTCGTTTCCGCTCACACTTCGAATTCGAAACCTAAGAAGCCAATATATCTCATACGGTATTGCAATCCGCTTTATCCGGCCTTAATCCTAACCCTGATATATATATATATATATATATATATATATATATTGAGAGTTTCATAATTCTATGCAGTATTCGGTTTTCTCTAAATATATACGCAGTAAAGTATAGTCAACGGGCACAGTCAATTATGTGAAAACAGATAAAAGCAATTTTCTTTGATCAATATATCAATTGAAGACTGTGGGCCAACTTGAATAATCATCCTTTGAATTAAGATAATTATCTCAATTTGGTAGTAAGCAATTTGTCATAAAGAAATTATTTTGGCACTGTGTTTTGCCTGTACCCAACCACTACTCTTTTGCGATTATTTTATCTGCTAAAAGCCGATTTCGATTCGCCTAAGTGCAACCTCGAATGATTAGTCGTATCCCGAATTTGCCGTTCTGATAAACGAGATTTATGACGGATATGCTGAAGTTTAAGTGGTGATTAGGTAACAAAGTACGAATAAGTGACACCCATTCTATACACACCAGCCGAGCTCACCCTGAACAGGATCTTTTCTGAACCCAATTGAAACCGATATTTTAACCTTGTTAGAAGTAACATTACGATTCAATGCTTGTTTTTGTCCTCATCTATCTTAAGTGAATTGCAATCAGGATTTCTCCCCAAATAAAAGCATGTGTATTTATTTATAAAACTGAAATTTATGTACAAATCTAACCGAAATGAGAACTACCGTTAGAGGTTGATTTTAGAGTTGAGATCTCCGATGAACGCCTGATTGAAGGCAATGAGTCATAAGACAGCGAATAATTAGCAACAGTATTAGTATCTCTGTATAGTAAACCGCTATCCTTCAAAACCATTTAGGACTACCTTTTCCTTATAGTCAGCGTTTTGGTCTGAACGGACTGGCTACAGGAATGCATCGGATACGGCCTGGTTACATTTTGAAATGCCTCTGATATATATATATATAACAATCATGTGAAGATTATTTATGCGCATAACGTTGCTTCTTCTCGTGCTCGTCATGTCGAGTTGGTTGAAGCTCCGAAACCTCACATTTCACTGCCCAGATTAAAAGAAATGAATCGTAACTCACCGCACTTGTGAGCTTGTTGAACAAATCCTCTATCAGTTTGTGCAAAGACTGGTTTATTTCGAGGAACTCGTCCCGCTTGAGTAAATTGTTCAATTCACTTTTATCCGCTTTCTGCAGTAAAATGGAAGGTAGCAAGAGATGTAAAATAAGTTTATGTGCATTTTGAACCAGAAAGCTGTAGATTTAACGGAATTACATTCGATAATTGAAACACCCCCCGAGGAGTAACTTCGTAGTCAATTGATATTTGAAGAACGATTGCTTTCACCACGAAATAGGCAAAGAACATAATATCTATGAAATTTCATCCAAAGCGTTCTCACTGTGTTATAAAATCAGTGAAACTAAGTTTTATTTCATTTCGTGGTCTCTGTTCTCTAAAAAATGTGTTGGTTGATAAACATGTACTCGGTATCCAAGTTGATCTATGTCCCAGATCAATCGAACTCATAGGGAGCACTCTGTAGTAATCCTAGGTGTTTCACGACCATCTGCATTGAAACCCCATTGAATCCGGTAGGATTGACCTTAAGTATGAGGAGTTATCAATCCGATGCGTTATCTAGACCGGCTATTAGAAGCCTAGTATGCGATATCGTGCTCCTCTATTCGTGTCGTTGGACGGACATAATTTCACAGGATAATAGTCGAATTCCCTATGTAGTGCATCTCAGTAGCATTTAAATGAGAACTGCACAATTAAACTCTATCGGCTGGGCGTAAATAATTAGTGCACAATTTTGTGCAATAATGCTGCTTACGTAAGTGTGTTCCTTATACAAATTCATCACAACGCCGGTCACTTTTCAGCAGAGATTTATGGATACGGTTTGGCAAGAAATTTATTGAACATTGCGCGTTCAGTACTTGCCTGTTGATATTAGGTAAGACATGCATACCAATATTTTGACTTGGCAGTGCTGTGTTCGAATGAGCATTTCGGACAAATGAAGTGAGCTTTACATCTATTTCGGAAGTACCTCGTAGGCTTCTTCGAAACAAATAAGTTTACTGATTCAATGAGACATCAAATAAATCAATGACACATTCAGTTTCTTTCGAATATGATACCTTCATATTGCTGTCCCACAAACGGTGTTGGCGTGAAATGTAGAACCCACTGAACACAACTATATTGCCGTTATTTATATGATTCAGATGATTCTTTGGTCTGGCTTGCCAAACGTACACTGAGCCGTTTTCATGAAGACCAACTTACAATTACTTGTAAACAGTGATGTGGAACAATTGATTTTGATTGATTGTGACCGACCATCCTTTGGACTTCACCTCCACGCGCAATCTTCAGTTCATCGATTGAGCCATACACTCGGAAGCACTAGACTCGAGTTTCACTCGTATTAGAACTCATCAGTAGTGCATATCCACCGTCCCGTCCGGCACTTAATCTCCGGATCCATTGCATGGAAGGCGTGTGCGTTGACAGTGTGCCCATCAGTTCACTGAAGACTACACATGAACAAATGTAAATTGTCAATTCCGTTCAGCCAGGGTAATCGCTTGTCAGCAATTGGTAACGCACACGCCTTACATGCGATGGGTCCGGAGTTCAAATCCCGGACGGGACGGTGGATATGCAC